AACTGCCGCCAACAAAGCCCGACGGAGAGACAGCGCGGCCTCTGCCCCCAGCGGGGCTCTCACAGGCTGCCCAGCCCCAGAGCGACGCCTGGCCGGACACCATCCCGGCCTGCCCCGCAGCCGGGGGAATTTGTAGGATGATTTCGCCTTCCTCCGCTTCTCTCTTTCCAAACCCCGGCCCCCCACTGCCCTCTCTCAAGAAAGACGGCGCAGCTGGGCGGCGGCGGGAGCTCCCCGGGCCGGGCAGCACCGACTGCTGCCTCTGGCCCCTGCGGGGCTGGGGACACCGGGGATGACAATCAGGACTGACAGACTTGAGGGTATACACTCTCCTCTCGCCTCCCAGTTTCGGCCTCCCCCAGAGAGAGAGCGAACCGAGGAAACAGGGCTTTTGTTGTTGACATCTGACCTACGACAGAGTGTCCCTGCCTGGAAATGAGAGCGAGGGAGCCCGAGGAGCCACCGCACACCCTGACATCCATCTGAAGAAGGAGCATCCTATGGCTGCTCCATTCCCCCTCTCCTTTCTCTTAAAAGAGAGATCGAAAGCGAGAAAAAGGATGACCCCCGAACCAGCCGGCCTCCCCACAACCAGTCCGGAAGCACGAGCGAAGTCGCTCCCGTAAGGTCAGCCTGTCTCCGGGCAAAGAGCCCCGGAGGAGCGGCCCCGGGGCCTCGGCCGGGCCTGCCCCGAGCAGCGGCCGCGCCACCGCCGGAGCTGGCCATGCCCGCGGCGCCGGCCTGCCCCGCCGGGACCGGCACCGTCCGCGCAGGCCACCTCCTGCCCACCCGAGACGGGAGCGCTCCCCGAGAGCGGGGCCCTGCCGTCAAAGGCGAAATATTCCCCGGGCGCCCACCCGAGTGTCCTGCAGAGGGCAGAGGCTGCTCGCTTTCCGCAGCCCGTTCCGCGGGCTATTGACCAAGGACTTTTAAATCCATACCCAGCTTCAACATTTTACCCGTCAGCACGTCTGCGGTCACAAAACACTTCTTCTTTCTGTCACTTCTCTTCGAAACTATTGATAAGATCATTTAGCTGAATCTGTTCGGCATGAGTGTAATATTGACTAGAAGTTAGAAAAGATGATTAAATCTAATAAGCCTAGAAACTATCGCGAAGGAGGGGAGGGGGGGAGCGGGGCAGGATATCGCACTTAGGAACCCGAGCCAGCCCAGAAGGGCCTGAACACGCCGCCCGCGTGGGAACACCGCGCACTCGGATGTCGCTTGTCAGCGCGCCAGCCGCGCGGGTCCCCAGCCGGGACCCCCCGGGAAAACCGACCCGCCCGTCACCGCACGGAGCCGCCGACACCGAACGCGACACCGGGGCCATCGCCGCGGGCCCGGCCCGGCCCGAGGGTGCGCAGCCCCGCTGGGCAGCCGCGCTCTTTCTTCCTCCTTCAAACGGTACTCACATCATTAAGCCCCGCCTTTTTGTTTTGCTTTTTTTCTTTCTCTCTCTCTCTTTTTTTTTTTTTTAAGGAGTCAGATGTTAAATTATAAAAAGGGACCGAGAAGAGTCGAACCTCTTCTCCCCCCTGCCTTCCGCCAGAGCATGCAAAAAACTTGAGATCTCCCCACCAGCATCAAAGGCAGGACAGCCCTACCCGCACAGAAATCAATGCTCCAAAACACACACGGCTGTGGTTCATCTGCGGAGAGACACAATGAACACAGCTCCCGAGGCTCTCCTTCAAGACCCTCAAAGTTATAAGCATGGAACCTCTCGGTATAGGCATCAAATTTATTCCAAAAATTCCATGAAATAGAAAGGAACGGCGGTGCTTTTACACAGAACTCAGCTCAGTATAAGTACTGGGGTCTTCTCCCTCCAGATCTTAAGAACTATGCAAATCTGTGCTATCTTTAAAAATAAAATAACGATATTTCAATAATTAGAAGAAACTATGAAGGTATTGTGCATTTCTGTTTTATGTAGATAATAAAATATTACTTTAACATAAATATATAAGGATCTCTGCGTTTTTATTTTTCCCCACAAGCACATCCAAATGTACCAAAACAAAGTATTTTTAAAGAGACTGAACAAAAAAAAATTACATCCCATATAGATTTTGTTCACCTACTCATTTAAAGCTACAGAAAAACAGTTTCCAGAACCTGTTTGCTTTAAAAGAAATAAATATACATTGAGGCAGGCCACTTAAAAATGATATGAAAATATTTCCCTGGGTAGCATTAAAAAAAAAAAAAAAGAAAAATAGACAAAGAAAACATTGAAACTATTTCTGCATTTCAAAGGACAAATATTAAACATATATACATAGTGGTAAGGTTTGCTTGGTAACTTTTTTTTTAGTAAACCTATTTGGAGTTTGAGGCTTTCTCAAACATCCTCTCAACTCCGTTGTCTGACCTTACGCACATTTTAATAAGTGTCTGAAAGTTCATTTCCTCCCTTTACCACTGGATCTGCCCTGATCTGATTCACTTCACTAGGCGCTAGTCCTCAACACTTTAAATAACAAGCAGCTCAACACATAAACAAACAAACAAAAAATAAAAAACCAAACAAAAAAAAAAAAGAAAGAGAAAAGCTTGGTGCCCGTATCTTTTTAACAATTGTTGGAAAACCAGGAAAAAGGCTAATGCATGTGCCTCTTAGAAATGATCATCTGTCTTACCAAGAAGAAAGAAAGCAAGCAAGAAAGAAAGGGAGAAAGAAAGAAGGAAAGAAAACCCAGTGTCACAGGCATTTTAAAAGACAATGAGAAACATATTCTAAAGCCTTAGCTACTGAATGCAATATTTATAGGAGAGTTCTGCGAGAGAATGCTTCACTGTTTTTTCTCCATAATTGTCCAACACTCAACTAAGTAAACTTTTAGATTATAAAAATGCTTTGTCTCTATAGCACCCGTTTGTGCTGACTAAATGATCCCTTTATGAATTTATAACTATCATAAAGTCCCTCTAATGTATATGCATAGCTGTGTGTGTGCATAAGTACACAAACACGCACGCAGACACACGCACATACATGCGCTGCTCCGAGGTCCCGCTCCTCTGCTTCCCTTCAGAGCTTTTTGTTTTCCTTTTTTTTTTCCATTTTTTTTCCTTTTTGTCCCCGTGGGTTTTTCTCTTTTTTTATTTTGGAAAGTTAACCATTTCTCATCAAGATAATGTCACGAAATGCACTTTAAAACTATTAGCGAAGGGAGGGGGGGGGTGAGAAACACGGATTGAAAAATGGCATTTTTTCCCACTTCATTTCATTCCCCAGTGAAAGACACAAGGCTGCCCAAGTTAAAACTGGTCCTTTCCTTCAATAAATTATACCACAATCTGACCAAAGGACAAGGGGAGGATGGGAAGGGAGAGGGGCTGGATACAAATAGAAAAGAAAATAAATACGGAAAGTAAAGCGAAAAAGAAATGCACACAGTCTCTGTGGAGAGGAGGGGGCAGCGTGTGTTTACAGGCAGGTGTAAGCACCCGACCCCCACCTCAGCTCAGGGCCCAGCAGCTCCTCGGGCTCTCCCTGGCTCTGCCTTGACATAAAACTGCTCAATAAAAGAAAGTTTAGAGGCTGATATCGGCCCGGGAGGCGAGACCGGGGCTGCCAAAGGCACGCAGGGGAGCCGCGGGGGGGAGGAGGGGAAGGAAAGGGCGCTGAGGGGGCGGTGGTGGGGGAGCTAAATAATTCCCTTTCCCCCTCAAGGAAATACCACTTTCTCCGAGAAAACTCTGGAAACATGTTCCCTCTCCGCCTTCCCCACACCAGGCCTTGCTTGCCCGCACTGACACGGTCTGGAAGGGTTGCACATATTTTTTTTCCTCCCCCTTGGGTTGCGCCTCGACCCCCGGACACACTGCCTGAAAATGAAGTTTACTTTGTTGATTTGCATTATTCTCCCTTCTCCAAACTCGACTCCTGCCAATGAAGGCATGTATTAAACAATTACGAGAGTCACATCTCTGGAGAATGGAAGCTGGAGGTGCATATATATGTGTATATAGAGAGATTATCTATATGTGCATATATGTATGCCTATGCACGCGTGCATGCACATGTATACATACACACACATATACTAATTCTTTTTGCTATGGTAAAAGGAGAAAATAAGCGTTACACGTATTTAAGAATACTTGTTTATAACAAAAGTTCACATATACACATAAAGCAAAGGCTAAAACACAGTAACATATTGTAGACTGGTCACTGGTTGACTAACGCTCACTGTGGAAAATGCAAGTCATTTGCAAAATTAAGGTCGGAAAGGAAGGGGGAAAAAAGAAAAAATAAACATTTTGTTTATGTAAACTTCGATTTTCTTGCAGTGCAAATTGGTACGGTTAAATACTGTCTACATCAAAAGGGATAGCTTTTCAGTTCTCTTCCTTTTTTTTTCTTTTTTTTTTTTTTTTACATATATTCATACAGGGGATCCACAGAAAATAAACACAGCAGCATGTGCCAACACCGAGCGACATTCCACAATGCGATCTGCCTTTGTGTGGCGGGAGGGGGCTGCGGAGGGGACCCGAGGTGGCCGTGCCCCCCTTTCTCCTCCGCCCCGTCCCCGGCAGGGCAGCGCCGTCTGTTTTGGCCAGCGAGTGAGGGAGTTTTGTGCGAACCGCTTCGCCCTGCGCCTGCCCTGCCGGTGCCCGCCGCTGCCCTGCCGGTGCCCGCCGCTGCCCTGCCGGTGCCTGCCTGCCTGCCGGTGCGCGGTACCCACTCCACTCCCGTGCACGGGCACTCGCCTGGAAAGGTCAAAATACAGCATCACACCTCCTACAGTCTAAGGGACGGTGTGGTGCAGGTGCTTTGTCTGTCTATCTGTCTGTCCGCTGTGATTCGCGCTCGCCCTCTCGCTCGCTCGCTTTTTGTTTTCTTTTCTCTTTTTTTTCGCGTTTGTTTCTTTTTTTGATTTTTTGTCTTTTTTTTTAAAGATAGGAGAAAATAAAATTAAAAAAAAAAAAGAAAAAAAAAGGACAATCAAAAGTTGGGGGAAGGAGAGGAGGAGGAGGAGGAGAGGAGGAGGAGGAGGAGGGGCCGGGCGCCCCCGCCGCGAGTTCACTGCACGGGGGTCTGCACCCCGTGGTGCGGCGGCGTGTCCCTGCTGGCCCCGTACACGTCCTCGGCGCCCGGCAGCGTCCCTCCCGGGGGAGTCATGCGCTTCTCTTTCTGTCTCCTGTTACAAAACCACACTCTCACCACCTCCTTCTCCAGCTGTAGGCTGTCCGCGAGCGAGGTGATCTCCTGGGCGGAGGGCTTGGGGCACTTGAGGAAGTGGCTCTCCAGCGCGCCCTTGACGCTCACCTCGATGGAGGTGCGCTTTTTCCGCTTGCGGCCCTGCGCCGCGATCTTGTCTATGCTGGTGGGGCTGCCCGAGGAGGAGTCCGCCTCCTCCAACCACTTGTTCAACAAAGGCTTCAGCTTGCACATGTTCTTGAAGCTGAGCTGCAGGGCCTCGAAGCGGCAGATGGTGGTCTGCGAGAAGACGTTGCCGTAGAGGGTGCCCAGCGCCAGCCCCACGTCCGCTTGGGTAAATCCCAGTTTGATGCGCCGCTGCTTGAACTGCTTGGCGAACTGCTCCAGGTCGTCCGAGGTCGGCGTGTCCTCGTCGGAGTGTGGGTCGTGGTGCGGCGGCGGCCCGGGGGGCGCGGCGGCGGCGGCGGACGGTGCCGGCCCGGCCGCCCCGGGGTGGGGGCCGTGGGGCGGCGGCGGGTGCTCGGGGCCGTGGTGCGGCGGCCCCGGCGGCGGCTCTTCGTGGGCGTCGCGCAGGCCGTGGTGGTGCAGCCCCGGCTGCCCGGCGCCCAGCATCCCGTTGACGGTGAAGCCGGGCGGCTGCGAGTAGAGCAGCCCCGCCTGCGCGCCGTTGGCCGCGGCCATGCCGGGCGGCAGGTGCGCCGCGCCGCCCGCCCGCCACGCCGCTGCCGCCGCCGCCGCCGCCGCCGCCGCGTGGTGCCCTCCGCCGCCGCCGCCGTGGTGCACCAGGTGCGGCGCCCGCCCCGGCGGCGGGTGCTGCGGCGGCGGCGGCAGCTCGTCGCCGCGCCCGCCCGCCTGCACCACCGCCGGCTTGATGTCGGGCTGGCCCAGCGCGCCCGCCGACCAGGGCGCCTCGCCGCCGCCGCCGCCGCCGCCGCCCCCGCCGCCGCCGCCGCCGCCGCCACCGCCGGGGCCTCCGTGGGACAGCGCCGCGATCCACTGGTGAGCGTGGCTCAGCGGGTGCCCGTTGCTCTGCAGCGCGTAGTCCGCCTGCACCAGGGCGCCGGCGTCGCGGTAGCCGCCGCCGGGCTGCATGCCGCCGGGCGGCTCGGCGTGCACCATGGGGGAGCCGGAGGCGAGCAGGCTGTAGTGGTTGGAGGCTGCGGTCGCCATGACTCGCCGAGCCGCACTGATCGCGCCGGTTAAAGGCGCCGCGCATTTGACAGCTACTTTTTCGCCTCGGGCGCCGCGCGGCGCCCGCGCCCCCCCGGCCCGCGCGGCGGGGCCCACTGCGAAGGCACGCGCGGCCGCCCCGCCCCGCCGCCGCACGCCATTGGCTCCCCGCGCCCTGACGGACACCGCCGCTCCCGGCGACCGCCGCCGCCGCCGCCCGCCATTGGCGCGCCCCGCCGGCCGCGCCCCGCCCCGGCCCCGCCCCCGGCCCGCCCCCGCTCCGACCCAACTCCGAGGGGGAACGGGGCGCGGGGGAGCGGCGGCCGCGGGGCGGGGGGAGCGCAGCGGAGGGCAGGGGCGCGCCGCCGCCGGCCCCGCCCCGGCCCGGCCCGGCCCGGCCCGGCCCGCACCGCACGGCCGGCGGGAGGATGCTGCCGCTGCCCGGGCGCCCGCCGGCTCCTGTTGCTCGCACCTCGACGCGCGTCTCTGCGCCCCGGAGTGGGCGCTGCGGGCCGAGGGGTGCTCGCCTGCCCGCCCCCAACTTTCTCAGCGCCGCCTCGCAGCCGGCCCCGCCGGAGCGGCCCGGGAGCGCCGCGCCCCCGGGGGCGGGGAGCGGGCGGCCCCCTGCCCGTCCGCCGGCCCTGCGCCGCTCCCGGCACCCGGTGGTCGCCGGGGCGCACCGCTCCTCCGGGGATGTCGGGGCTTCGCACCTCGGCGCTGCGGAGGTGGTTTCGTTCCTCTCATCCCGTGCCGTGGGGACGGGGTGCCTGCGGGACCGCCTCAGCGGCGCTGGCGACTCTGCATGGATGCGGAAGATGGGCATGAGAGGGTGGTGGGAAAAGGAGAAAACAAATAGGGAAAAAAGAGGGGGATAGGGAAAAGAAAAGAAGTTGCGGCCCGGACAGGAAGGAAGGAGACCCTGGAACTGGATTCGGATTTCTTGGGAATGAGCAGCGCCGGGCTGGCCGACGCGAAAAGAGTTCGCTGCCCGTTTTTGAGCTGAAAGCCATAGCTTTGTCTCGAAAATAAACTGCTCACGGGGATAGGTGCGCGTCGCAGGCTCCCACTATCTTCATCGAAATAACACAATAGGGCGGACCGGGGAATTTATTACTACTAACAAGAAACAGCTTTCTTCTGCGAGTTGTTTATAAATCATCGTGTTTAACGTGAGCGCTGGAAAGGCTCCTTGCCTGGAAATATTCCTCTGCGTGGGGGTGTGGAGGAGAGGGGGGATGGGCTCCTGCACATAAACATATACACAGCAGCAGCATAAACAGGATATCCAGTGCCCTGAGACAAGGGGCGCAGCAAGAGTTACCTCCTTTCGTTAGTTTAGCGGCGTATCAAGAGCTCCTTCTGCCGGGGGGTGGGGAAGGGAGGGAGGGACGAGGAGGAGGAGGAGAGGAGGAGGGGGGCGCAAACTTTGTCCATGAAAAAGTGGAGATTCTTCCTAAGGTTTGGGGTTTTTTTTTCCCCCTTTCTTCGAGGTGCAGGCGAAGGAAAGAACAATACTGCCTTTTCTGCGAGGGTTGCGGAGAGGGAAGTCAGTGTCTCTGAAGTGAAGCTGTGCCTTTTGTTTCCCGTGTGTAAACAACTGGGCACCCAGGAATTTTATAATTTGATGCTCATTTTCTCGTCTCTCTCCTCCCAATTAGGTGTAGACCAGTGAGTTGAAACAAAACAACAGGGCAAGTCCGCAGCAGGCTTCTGCCAAGGCATCGCGGGGACCGTCCTGGGAGAGCCGCCCCACTCTCCGCGCCCGGGCCAGCCCTCCCGCCCCGCTCCTGGGGCCGCCGAAGCTCCGCCGGGGGCGGCTTTCCCGCCAGCCCGCCTCCAGCTGCGCTGCAAAAAGTTCTTGCGTGGACGAGACACGAGGGGCCACGCCACGCGTCATTTTCAGAGCGAGGTTTTCACGCGGGCGCCTCCAGCGTGCGGTGCTCGCCGAGCACGGACCCACCCCGGTGGTGGCCCGAGGCAGGTCCCTTGTGCCCCGGCCCCACGGCGTGTGCCCGCCCCACGGACAGCTGGTCCCCATGGGGTGCCGACGGCACCGCGCTCCCCGCGCCTCGCCGCCACCAGCAGATGGGACACGGGGTCAGCGGGATCCAGCCAACACTTTTCTGGCAGGGGGGAAAACCCCTCCGGGCCTGCCCCAGTCGTGCATTTCCTGTCCTCCCTCCCCGGCCCTCTCTGTCCCGCCCGGCCCTCGGGCAGGTGCTGCCTACGACGGGCACCGTCCTGCGTGCCGCTCCCCCCGCCGCCCCAGCGGCGCATCTCAGGGCTAGCGGTAATCACAGCTACCGAAGTAGCACCGCGGCCTGAGGAGGCGGACAAAACCCGCTGTCCCCGGCAGAGCCCCCCGCCGTCCCTCCTGCCCCCTCCCCGGCGGAGCGCACGCCCACGGAGGCGCAGCTGGGAGCAGCGAGGAGCGTGGCCGGTGCATTCAGAGCCGCCGCAGACTCCACCTCCTCGTCCTCCCCATCATTGTTAGCCCTGTCATTAATACCGCTCCTTAAGCATCCTCCGCTCCCATCTCCCCCCGTGGAGAGGAGCGCCGGGGAGCGGGGAGCGAGCGCCCGACCGCCGGTCTTGTCGCCTCGCCGCTGCCCGCCGCGGGCTCCGGCTCTGGTCGCCGCTCGGGTCCGGGCCGCTAGGGATGTAAAAGAGACAGTCATGTGGCCCCTTTCTGGCGGAGCTGACCCCTCGGGATTAGAGGTCTCACCAGCCTTTCTTTCCTTTTCTCTGCTCGCATAAAAGCAGGTTGAAGGTGATGCGGTGTCTTGGGCAGACACTGCAGTGTTTTGATTCAGCTCAGCCCTTTTCACTGTTCAAAGCAGCTGTTCAAATACTAGGGCTGCTTACTTTGACGTGAAGAAGATTTTCAAACAACCCCAAAAGCTTTGAACTGACAGGCCTCCTTGATATCTCCTTCATTGCAGTGCAGCTACTCGAGAATATTCGCTATAAAATACATAGAGCGCCACTTAACTGGAGCTGAGTCCTGGCTGGGAGGCGAGGTGCTGCATACACATCAGGTGCATCCAGAAGGACGCGGGAGGCTTGCGGGAGTCCTCTGGCCGCCCCCCGCCGGCCCCCCCATCTCCCCACCTGGGGGTCCCCTGCCCGCCACCCGCCCCCAGCTGCCGCGGCGGGCTCCGGCTGACGAGATGTTGGACTCCCTGGTGTTTCAACTCCGTGCGTGCCGGAGAGAAAGCTGAATTTCCAGCAGCAAAACAAGAGCACGGCTCGTTCCTAGCGAGCCTCGGCTTCCAGCCGCCGCTCGTCAGCCTGCCCGGCTCGGGGGGCTGGGGGAACGCTCCCCAAACGCGCGCTCCTCTGCGCCTTTGGATGCGTGCGTGCGGCTGTAGGGTGGGGAATATGTATTTGCATATGCCTGTTGTGTTTAGAGGTGAAAAGCTTTTTTTTTTTTTTTTTAAACTCTGCTCTCCAAACCTTGAGATAGACTCACGCAGCTGAAAGGAAAGGAGGAGGGGGAGAAATCCCCGCGCCTCCTTTCCGCGTCTCTATTATCTACCCATTAGATGTTGTTTTAGGAGGAAATGCTCCAGGAGTGCAAAGACGTGGAGAGTCGCTCAGAGAATTGCTGGGTGCAATAAACGTGAGACTCCTGGTGCTCGCTTTAAAGGCCAACTTGGAAGATTTGTGCTTATTGCTGGGGCGCATTTAATGCACCTTTTGTGAGATGGGATTGTTTTGATCTCTGCTTCCTTTTTAACCTTTCTCTATGAGGTATTCAAGCCTGTGCTTTCGTGTGGCTCTTTCCAGTGTTGCTCCGAGGAGTCTGATTCGGCAGAGAGACCCAAGACATGAATGAAACTTCAACTTTAAGGGCCTGCGGAGAGACAAAACTGAGGCCGGGGCTTCACAAGTGATTGCTTTAAAAAAATCCAATCTACACAAAGAGGCAGCTGGCTGCTTTAATGAAAACTGCTTAAAGCGGCAAGAACCGCAGCCTCAGGGATGTATTTATAAGATGACTCAAAAGCTACACTTTCAAGTTGCTTCTCCTCGGGGTAGATATAACAAACACATTTAACTAAGAAATCTAAACAAAAAAGACAGAAATTGATAACTTTGATTGCACAAGCTCACATTATCCATTGAAATTAAAATCCTCTATCTAAATAGATTTCTCCACCTATCTCTAGAGAAAAAAAACTCCCTCCCTGCGTATATAGATATACACACGTGTACGTGTAATACCATGTACGTTTTTGCCCTGCTAGAATACTTATTATCCCAGAACACAGAACGCAGAAAGGTGTAGAATTAAAAAAAAAAAAAAAAAAAAGTTCCTGTAAAGTTTGTATTAACGTTCATTTCCAACATTCCCCACAACTCTATTCTTCTGGCCGCTTCATTCATCTGAGAATCTGCTATTTTATCTGCATCAGTGTTTAAACTAGTGGGATATAATGTTCTAAGTTCAGTATTTGAAATTAAATTATTTGAATTCACGGATATTAATCTTTTCCCTTCATCCTCCAGTTCTGAATCTTGTCATTAAAAATGATCCACCCTTTGTAGTCCGCAAGTGAATATTTTATAGACAGATACCGCTATGAAGACTTCTAACGCAACGTCAACCAGTCAGACTTAGCTGTTGCAGGGATTACTTTGAGTAATTTATCAAAGGCAGGCTGCTAAATTTTGAGTGGTGAATATGAGGCCTTGGGGGAAAAAGAAGCAGAAGAAGCAAAAGAAAAAAAAAGACGAATTCCATCAGTCTACGAGATAAATTCTGGTTGGAGTTAATACAGCTTGTTTATTGAATTCTTGGAGACAGACCCAGATGCGATTGGTGCAACGGAGTTTGCAATTTAGTGTTCAGAAGCCTGGCTGGGAAATGACCGCCCCGTGCTGGAGCTGGAAGGGCGTTTCTTTTGGCGTGAAAAGCAGGTGAATTGGAAGGAGAGGAGAGGCGATTCAGCCTCTCTGGCTCGGGAAAGCGGTTTCACAAAGGTCTTTGCAAAGCC